GCTTCAAAGAGGTTGGCACACTTGTCATCTCGAAAAAGGACCCCAAACTTCACGCTGAACTTCCCATCAGCATTTTTTGAACCCAAGCGATGAATTTCCTCCACTAAGAGGTTAACTTCATGATCCACATTCATTATCACCTCTTGGCCTAGTTTTCCAGTACAGTGGAGAACTGGTGCCGCGTTGGTTCAGGCCCGGGCGTCAGCTGCGCGCTGGGGAGGCAAGGGCCGAAGAAGGAAGCTCCAACCCATTTTCTATGGGATTATTCAACCTTTTCCTGTCCATTTGTACAATTCACCTATTAATGCTGTGGGCACTCTTTTTGGTTTTGTTTGAGACGAGAGTCTCACTATATAGTGCAGGCTGGCTGCCCTTAAACTTGCTTATGTAGCTCAGGCTGGCCTCGGACGCATGGTGATCCTCCTGCCTCAGTCTCCCAAGTGCTTAGATTACAGGCATGCACCACCACACCCTCACACTCTTGATGTGATATTATAATTTCTTTTTAATTTTGTTTTGATATTTGTGTTTTTACCTTGTTTATTGTGGCTTTTCCTGTGCACACCTTATTAAAGCTATTTTTTTTTTGTGATTCCTTTTTACTTTTTGTTTTTCATGTATGTTTTTCTTTTGCATTGATTGTGCAATAAATAGATACAGTGTAGTATAGTATAAAATGTTAAAAATGTAAATTTAAGGCTGAGGTTATATCTCAGTGGCATAGCACCTACCTGACAGGCTCAAGGTCCTAAGTTTGATTCCCAGTACCAAAAAGAAAAGTAAACTTGGAGCTGGGGAGATAGCTCAGTTGAATAAGTGCTTACCTGGCAAGCACAAGGGCCTGAGTTCAATCCCCAGCTCTGCAAAAAAAAAAAAAAAGTAAACTTAATGTATTGATTTAAATATTTACTCTTTTATTATTGTAATTTTTCTTCTAGGCAAGGATAAAAGCCATTAATACCTTCTTTGCTAAGAATGGTTATCGATTAATGGATTCTAGTATGTACAGTCAGCCCATTCAGACACAGGCACAGTATGCTTCACCAGTTTTTATGCAGCCTGTGTACAATCCTCACCAACAGTACTCACTGTATAGTATTGTGCCTCAGTCTTGGTCTCCAAGTCCTGCACCTTACTTTGAAACACCTCTGGTAAGTGAGATCCTTATAGAATAATGTGTAAAATAAGAAAATTTTAAATTCAAGGTGAAATTTGAAGAAATCAACTGGAGCAATTCTTTTGTTGATACTGGTTATTTTTTGGCCTTGAAAGAGTGACACATATCTAATCCTCTTTAATAAATACATAGGTTGGAAAATAAGTAAATTTAAGGCTTTGGCTATTGATTTCCACAATTTTATTCTTTAAACTTTCTAGAATGAATTAAAAAGAGTACATAAGTCTTATCTGATTTTAAGTGCTGGAAGAATTTTCCTTCTCTGAATGAACTGGTGACATATCATTAATCAAAGTTTAAATTACAAAAAAAAAAAAGTTTAAATTACTTTTCCTTGTGAAAGGAATTGTTGTTAGATTACTCATAGATGTCTCTTTTGACCCTCACTCCATGTTTCCCATTGATACAGTATAAACATAAACTTTCCTTCTAGGCTCCCTTTCCCAATGGTAATTTTGTGAACGGCTTTAATTCACCGGGATCTTACAAAACAACTGCTACTGCTATGAATATGGGTCGGCCATTCCAAAAAAATCGGTAAGGTAAAATCATAGCTGAATTTTACTTTTCTTTTGTACTGGGGATCAAGCTCAGGACCTTGCACTTGCCAGGCAGGTGCTATGCCACTGAGCTATATTCCAGGCTAAAGTTTACCTTAAATACTTCCTGATGTGTCTGAGGAAATTACAGTTATTAATGGCAGTACTTCTTGGAGGACTTCATTGAAAAGTTTTGGTTGTTTTTACAAAAAGTATGTAAGTGATTCAATCTAGAATTCATAAAGCCACTTTTGCCTCAGTTGATAATGGATATGTAAAGAATGGTGACTCAAGAATTTTAAAAATACCATAGCCACTTTGTTTGCTCTGGCCTGGTAGCCTTACCTCACTGCAGATGTGTTTCTTTCCCTTCTTTTACTTGGCCCAGCCTAGCTCTGCAGAGCATGCTTCTTTCTTTCTCTCTCTTTCTTTCTCTTTCTCTCTCTCTCTCTCTCTCTCTCTCTCTCTCTCTCTAATAAGTTATTTATTGCGCTTTAAAAATATAAACATTATATAAGAAATAAAGCCATGCTGTTATGTTGAGCTGTGGGGGACTCAGGTCAACAATTTCTGACATTGCCACTTAAGCGGAAGACCCAATACTATTATGGGCTACTGGACTCTTTTAGAGTATTTTGCTGAGTTTACATACCTATAATATTCAAATAACGGAACTTAACAAAAAATGGGTATACAGATGAATGTCCATTTTGTATCTGTGTATTCAAAGTAGTTGAGATAGATATATAGTTACATTCTGTTAATGAATAGAATGATTTGTTCAAATGGTGTTTGTAAATAGGATATCAAGTCCGCATCTTGTACAGCAATTAACCACTAAGAAGAATGTATGCAGTGTGTTAATTATTGAAACTGTCCTACCAATTTGATTTGAAACTGTCTCATTGCTATTTGTTTATCAATAAAACTATGGCAAAAAAAGAGAAACATTTATAACAGCCAAATTTGATTTTATCTAAGTGTTAACAAAAGCCTAATACACTTCAGTATTCCAGCCTTCTGTATAACTGAGTAAGAGGTCAGTTAAACACTTGTCTTTAGTTAGGGGCTGACATCAATCACTGTCAGCTAATCCCAAAAATCCAGGCTGCTTCACATTTAAGGACAACTCAGCATACAGATCACCTGTTCTCTGGAAAGTACTGAAAAATTACAGGCTCAGAGGAGAGGCTCTATAGTAAGTAGCAACTGAAGTCAAATTCTACTGTCATTACCATGAGGAAAGTGGGGGTGGTGGAGTTATTTCTACCAGGTCTACATTAAATAAAAGCATAAAAATCAAGTGCAGATAAGAATTTTTTTTTAAGGAATGTGGTAAAGATGTGGCCAGATTCTAATTCCTAGGGTTTGGCTGGCTGGCTGGCTGGCTGGCTTTCTTTTTTTCTTTCTTTTCTTTTCTTTTCTTTTCTTTTCTTTTCTTTTCTTTTCTTTTCTTCTTTCCTTCCTTCCTTCCTTCCTTCCTTCCTTCCTTCCTTCCTTCCTTAAAATATATTTGGTACAGGGTCTCACTGTAATGATCCTCCTGTTTTCATCTTCCCCAGCTCTGGGATTACAGGCATGCACCACCATGTCCTTACTTGTTGTCTGGCTCAGCTCACCTGGGGGTGGGGCCGACATGGCATGTGGAAAACCTTTTTCTTTTCCTGCCTTTAATAAAACTTTGCTACCATTTTGTATGTGTGTGTTTACCCATAATTTAGTGTCTAAATGTTACTTTTACTTAGTATATTTAATATGTAATATTTTGGAAAAACTCTTTGGGGTTAAAATGTTAAGTGACATGTTTGAGTGATAAATATTGGGGTATGTGCTGTATCAGACTTTGAAGAATTGTCTTTTAAAGTGATTTCCATAAGCTGGGCATAGTGCTGCATGCCTGTAATCTCAGCACTTGGGAGGAAGAGGCAAGAGGATCACCACAAGTTCAAGGCCAGCCTGAACCACATGACAAGCCCCTATCTCAAAAAGAAAAAGATATCTGTGAAGTACAGCAGATAGTAATTAACATTTAATATCTCAAGCTCTGATCCTAAGAATTTACATTTTTTATCATTTCTTATAATATTGTAAGGTAAGTATGGTAGTTTGTATATTTTATAAATAAGGAAATTAAGACATAGAAGGTCAAATGTTCCTCCCAAGAATGTAGTGACTGCAAAAGCTGAACCGAAAAGCATACTTTTTAGAATAATTTACTAGAAGTCTAGGGCTGTTCCTCCAGCATGCTTGGGGCCCTTGATTTGATCACCAGCACGGGGGGTGAAGTTACTGGGAATCTTGGAAACTATTTCTTGTCAAACAGTCTTTATGGCTGAGTGTGGACACATACACCTGTAATATCAGCACTTGGGAGACTGAGACACAAGGATCATTGCGAGTTTGAGACCAGCCTGGGCTACAAAGTGAGCTCAAGGCGAGACAGCTGCATAGCAAGACCCTGTCTCCAAAAGACCAAAAAAAAAAAGATTTTGTTATTTTCTTCATAAAGACCTTATACATAAATGGTTTAGATTTGGTTGCTTTTGCATACATTATTCCTTGTGTGCCTGTTTTGTAAGCCTGATTGTGAGAGTTTTAAAAAATGGTTTCTTTTCAGTGATTTCTAGTCTGCCAGATCTGATTTGTCCACTTATTTAGAGTAAAGGAATCATATAGGATGTTTTGTGAGGTTTTCCTGAAATAGGCTATTAGAGAAAGGAATTTACAGTTTAAAAAGTATTCTTGTTGCATTCTAAATGTATCCTTCTGCACTACCATAGTCAACATTTTTGGACTTAATTTTTGCCTAAGGCAAGAGGATCAGTTGACCCCAGAAGTTAAAGTCACAGCTCAAAAAAAGAGGAGGGAATACTTTATAAGACAAAGATGAGTTGTGTCCTTGTAGATGACTCATTTAGTTTGGTGAGTGGCAGCTAACTGTAGAATTCAGTGTCACGGTGACATAGGAATAAAGTACACAGACGCACGCGTCCCCCCCCATGTTTGAAAAGATTTCGCTCCTAACGCTCAAGAGAGAGCACATGGAGTGGATGAAGTCTGAATGTAAGGGACCTGTGTAAAGTGAGCTTTAACTTATTTATAGATGAAGGAAATGAAGGCTAAAGAAAATGAAAGTCTTGCCAGGTTTTGTGACTAGTGATTATCTTTGGGCCTAAGACTGAATCAGCCAGCCAGACATCATTTTCCCTCTACCATAAACTGGCATACTTTTTTCTTAAAAATAATTCCATCACAGTAAATCATACTTTACATCTTCTTTGTGAGAGAATGACAGATTGCACATGGTGAAAAGTAGAATTGTAAGGCTGGGATGTCTCAGAGAGTTTATAGCCATTGATTTTACGTATTTCTTTGAAAGTGACTTTTGCATTAAACAGTTAAGTAGAATAAATGTTTTTTGGCCCACAGCTTTTTAAGTAAAATTACTGATCTTTTCATACTTGCATTTCCAGCTACTTAAGAGACTAAGAGTACCACATGATGCACTGGCTTCAGGCATGCTGAACCGGCAGTGAGTCCAGGCATGGTGGCGCACTCCTGTAATCCCAGCGCTGGGGAGGCTAAAAACAGGAGGATCACTACGAGTCCACTGCGAAGTGAGACCCTGTAGCAGATACATAAATTAAAAGAGAAAGAGAGCCTAAGATAGAAAAAAATGGAAAGTTTGAGGACAGCCTAGAAAACTTCACAAGACCCTATCTCTAAATTTTCTTTTGTTTTGAGACAGGATCTTACTATGTAGTTTAGGCTGGCCTTGAATTGGCAATGATCCTTCTTTCTCAGCCTCCCAAGTGCTAGGATTGTACCTGTGCACGACTGAGCCTCAAACAACACATTGTATAGACTAGGAATATAGCTCAGAAGAGCACTTGTTACCAGGTGTGGTGGCACACACCTGTAGGTGTACTACTCAGGAGGCTGAGGCCATCCAGTTCAAGGCCAGCCTGAACTACATAATGAGACCTTACCTTAGGAAAAAGGGGAAAAAGGGAGATCACTTGTCTGTAGGCTTAGGGCCCTGGGTTCAACCCCAGTTCTCCAAAAATGTTAAGTAGTACTTTGATTAAAATTACACTAAAACAAGCATGATAGTGCACACCTGTAATCCAGCAACACTGGGAAATTGAGCCAAGAATATCATAAATGTAAGCCTAACTTGAACAGGTTAGCAACTTAATAACTTAGTCTCAAAAAATAAAGGAGATGCAGCTCAGTGTAAAGGTCCTGAGTTCAATCCCCAGTACCACCCAAAAAAGGAAAATTAGATAAATTTGTGATTTTTCTTTGTCACTGTTTATTGTCTTCTATGTGAAATTATAAAGCTAGGAATGATAGTGAAATTATGTGCCTGTATTAAGGCACATCTGTGACTTTGAAGATATGGGACAGGTTTAGTATAATTTTACAATTTTCCATGTTACGTAAAACTATTCATATACAGTGTTTTCTTTTTTTCCCTTTGAGACAGGGTCTTACTGTGCAGCGCAGGCTTGCCTTGAATTTACTTCATGTCCTGGAATGACAGACCTATACCCCCTTGTGTGACTTTTTCCATATGTTTTCTTAAAAATCTTTGTATCTCTATTTTGCATCTTCTTCTATATATTTGACCAATACTGTATAGGTTGTTGTAAATTACAGAAACAGTATATGAATATTCCTTCTCTTTTCTTCTTTCCTTCCTTCCTTCCTTCATTTGACCAATACTGTATAGGTTGTTGTAAATTACAGAAACAGTATATGAATATTCCCCCTCATAACTATATTAAACATTCCAGACGAAATTAAATAGCTTTTTGACCACCAACTCAATCTTTGTTTTCTTTTTGCTTTTAAGAAGTGATGAGGGGGGCTGGTGAGATGGCTCAGTGGTCTAAAGCACCTGCTCAGAACAAGCTTAGCAAAGCACAGGGACCGTGGTTCAATCCCCCAGCACCACATGCCAGCCAGCCCCGCCCCCTGGTGGGCTGAGCTGGCCACACACACACACAAAATAAATAAATAAATAATTAATTAATTTAAAAAAAAAAGAAGAAGAAGTGATGAGGGTGGCTGGGGAGATGGCTCAGTGGAGTCAGCGCTTCCCTGGCAAGGGCCCGAGTTGAATCCCCGGTTTCACAAAAAATAAAGCAGTGATGAGGGTCAGGGAGATGGCTCAGTAGAGGGTCCAAGTTCAATCCCCGGTTCCGCAGGGGGGAAAAAAAAAGAAGTGTACACTTGTAATCCAGCACTCTGCGCAGCTAAAGAACCAGAGCACAGCTTTAGTTTGGGCACCTTTATGACTTAGTGAGACCTCTGGAAAAATAAACAAGAAATAATGGTGTAATTCAGCTCAGAGGAGAGGCTATGGGTTCAAATCCCAGTACTGCCAAAAAGAAAAAAAAAGTGTTAAAGGAGAATGTAGCAGGCCTTTGGGATTGTTGGGTGAGCTTTGCGACGGCCCAGTGATGATCACTAATCTGAGAGAGAATTGGACTAACTTTCAGATGTCCAGACATTTTTCTGTCTTTTTCTTCATCTCTTTTTCCTTTTAGTCTGTTGTCACTCACTTCTTTTTTCATTCTTTTCTGTGTGGCCTGGATTGAGATTGTAAGTCCCTCTCAGTGAAGGGTAAGATTATGAGATCTGAGGGCTGTTTAAATTTAGCAACAACCCTTAGACCTGGCGAATGTTGGGTGAGTAGTTTCTCAACTGATTTAACAACAGCCTTCCCTCATGAAGTCAATTTCAGATATGATAGACAACATTTTTACAACTCCTTTTGCGGGACATTCTGTATTTTTCATTATAATTCTTTGAAATGGTATTGTAACGTTGGATATTTTTTCTATCTTAATTTTTTTTTTTTTTTTGCGGAACTGGGGATTGAAATCAGGCCCTTGCGCTTGCTGGGCAAGAGCTTATTGTATTGAGCCATCTCCCTGGCCCCTCTATGTTAAATGCTAATATTTTTCTTTTTTCCCTCAATACTGGGAGTTGAGCTTCCTGGGGTCTTAACTAAGCCATGTCCGTAACACGTTCAGACAAGGTTTTGTGAAATTGCCAAGGCTGAGATGGTGTATACAATAAAAGGACAGTTAGGTACACCCTTTTGAAACAGGGTCTCCCAACTTTCTGTGTAACTCAGGCTAGCCTTGAATTTACAGCAATCCTTCTTCCTCAGCCTCCTAAGTGCTGGGATTATAGGTGTGTACCACCATGCCAGGTTATACCTGAAATTTATAGAGAAAGGTTTATACCTTTCTCTATTGAGAAAGCTATCATTGGGCAGTGTGTTAGTAATATCATAAATATCAAATGAGATTACTAAAACAGTTTCTATAAACTGCAAGTAATCAGCCAAGTACACATCTCACACTCCCTTTTTTGTTTGGGGGAACCAGGGATTGAACTTAGGCCCTTGCACTTGCCAGAGAAGTGCTTATTCCACTAAACCATCTCCCCGGCCCCTCACGCTCCCTTTTAAGTCTGCTGTAGAGCCGTGATCTTCAGTCGCGTTGGCTCACTGTAGAAGATTTGGGTGTGATTGAAGTTCAGTTTCTCTCCATTAATGTGCCATAGTTTTTTCTGGACACAGTTTTAGGAAGTTGGGTCCTTATAATCATCATCCAAGACAAAATCTGCTTTTGAAGAGGCAGGTTTGTTTATGGAGTTTTTTTTGGTTTTTCTTTTTTGTTATTTTTACTACATTGCATACATACCTAACTCATGAATTTATGCCAGGCTGTTGTTTGTATTGCTTTATTTTTCTAGTTTTCTTTGGTATGAATATTAAACAATTGACTTCATTTGGTGAAATTTGAGATTTTAGTATATTATTATTTCTCACCCTTTTCACTGTCACACCCATAAAAAGCATTTTTTAGGTATTTTTTTCTAATTTCTCTCTATAACATGGATTATTATGTATATACTTATAGAACATATGTATACTGTAAAATGAGTATGCAAGCTTTGATCTTCACACACAACTGCCAGTTTTTACTCCCATTACCTTTGCTGTTGTTGAGAAAACGTAGCATAAACTCATTAATAAATTTAAAGCCTGAGCCAAGTGTGATCACACATGCCTGGACTACATAGGGACACTCATGTCTCCAAACACAAAGAAAACCAAAAAATTTAAATCTCATCTGATACAGCCATTTCAAGAATATAGCTGATTTGGGCCAGTGAGACAGCTCAAGGGTCTAAAGCACCTGCTTAGGCAAGTACAGGGATTGAGCACGGTTCAATCCCCGGCACCACATGATGCACCAGCCCAGTGCCCTGGGCTGGCTGAGCCGGCCTAAATAGAAAAAGAATATATCTGGTTTAAGTACAGAAAGAGTTAAAATCCTGAATATGCTCTTGACTTTTGAGGTAGAAGTAGCTTTATCTCCAAAGAACCTTGGATTTCACCCCATGTCTCCAAACACATTCAATGTGGAAGTTCTTTTGCCTTTTAAAATATTAAATCTAGGACATAAAAGGAATAACATTTTTGTTTTTAGAAAATCAGCTTAGTTATGAAGTCAGTTTTTAACCTGAAGAAAAGTTTTTCAGTCTTGATTTATACTTTCATGTATATGATCTTATATTTCTTATAGTGTGAAGCCTCATTTTAGGTCATCCAGTGGTACAGAACACTCAACAGAGGGCTCTGTGTCATTGGGGGATGGACCATTGAACAGATCTAGTTCAAGGAACTTTGCAACTGAGCGACATAACCCTTCAGTAACAGGGCATCAAGAGCAAATTTACCTTCCAAAGGAGACTTCCACTTTACAGCTGGAACAAAATGGGGACTATGGTAGGGGCAGGTAAGGAAATAACTGTATACGAAATTTCTTTGATCATAATATGATCATCCTAAAAATTTGAAGACCACGATCTGTTGATTTTTGTTGTTTTGACTTAATTGTTGGTATGAAGTCATGCTGATAAGTACATTGATTACATAACATGGGTAAATAGTTTCTTGTTTCCTTTGGTGGGTTTTATTGTGGTGCTGGACATCAAACCCAAGGCCTCAGACATGCTAGGCAAGCCCTTTGCCACTGAGATACCTCTCCACTGTCAGTTTTTTGTTTTTTGTGGTTTTTTTTGTAATAAGGAACCTAGAGTGTCCAAATAGAGTATAATTCTGAATCAGGAGTTTACATTCTGAAGTTCTGTATAGTTTGCTGAGGAAAGAACAGCTTAAAAAAATAGGATACCTATCTGCCTTAGTTTTAATTTCTCCCCACTCCTGAGCTGTAGGAGTAGGGGTTATATGACCTTGCCCACCATCTCTAAATTACACTTTAATGTGCTTCTGATAATGGAGGGAATGTTCCTAGTAAAAGTGATCCATGATCCACCTCCCCTAAAAATGTAGAACTAGAGAAAAGAGCAAAAGGGTAAAAATTGGGGCCGGGGAGATGGCTCAGTAGGATAAGCGCTTGACTGGCAAACTCAAGGATCTGAGT